AAGGTAAATGGCAGGCAAAGCAAGGATCCAGGATAATGTGACAGTGGGTAGTCCTATCGGAGTGGGAGGTGGAATCCCCACAGGAGAGTTCCATAAAAGACCTCTAGAAAGGAAAGCTCATTGAGTCTGAAAGTCAGGAGCCACTGAAGGTTTTGGAGTAGGTGAGTGCTGGTACCAGAGATGTGCTCCAGGAAGGTGGAGAGAGGGTGCACAGAGCATGTGAGTAGAGCTAGAGGCCACTAACACAAGCATGGAGGAGGGCTGGCCCAGGACGGTGGCCACAGAGGGCAGAGCCAGGCTTGGTCAGTCTCTTTCCCTGGGCCTTCAGGGTCAGAGGGAGGAGCTGCTTTCCCCCCCTGCAGGAGGGCATGGCTCGAGAGCATGGAGTGGCATTGGAGAACACCTGTGGACCGGCACCAAGGGTCCATGATGCTGAGCCTCAGTCATCTCATCTGCTAATTGGGAATCACATCATATACTTCCTAGGACCTTTGGGAGGGTTGAATGTCTGGAGAAGCCCTAACATAGCTCCCAGTACCAGCAGGTGCTTAGTAACTGCAGGCAGAGGCTCCCAGTACCAGCAGGTGCTTAGTAACTGCTGGCAGAGGCTCCTAGTACCAGCAGGTGCTTAGTAACTGCAGGCAGAGGCTCCCAGTACCAGCAGGTGCTTAGTAACTGCAGGCAGAGACTCCCAGTACCAGCAGGTGCTTAGTAACTGCAGGCAGAGGAGGCCCTGATTCATGGACTAGCTGATGAAGCCTCTCAAGGGTCCAAGCCAACACTCAGCCTTTCAAGTCTTCCTCCACATAGTCCCTTCCAAGGCCTCTTTGCAATCTTCCTGTGGCCCTGTAGGGTCAAGGTGGGTGACTGCCAGGTCCCTCTCCACACTCAGGGCACCTTCTCCCTACTGTGCCCGTGACTTCAATGAGCAGGAACCAGCCTGCCCTTTTTACCCACTGGTCACTGAGGGGTCAAAGCCAGAGATGCCCCACCCATCCCACCCAGCCTCCTGGCGTGGGAACCCAGAGGGTTGGATTTGCTCTGGGGGGTGGCCTGACCAGGCTGCATGCACCTACCAATCTACATCCCCCATCCTTTGATGATGGTCAGAGAAAGGCTTTTTAGTGAGGAGACATGAAAAGAATGTAGCAATTAACCAAAATGTGTTTCTTGGAGGAGCCCTGGTTTCTCATCCATCAAGAGAGGGCCTAGGAGAAGTTCGAGACTAGCCAGGCCAACATAGCAAAACCCCATCTCTACTAAAAATATAAAAATTAGCTGGGTCTGGTGGTGTGTGCCTGTAGTCCCAGCTGCTCCGGAGGCTGAGGCATGAGAATTGCTTGAACCCTGGAGGCAGAGGTTGCAGTAAGCCAAGATAGCACCACTGCAGTCCAGCCTGGGCAACAAAGCGAGACGCCACCTCAAAAAAAAAAAAAAAAAAATAGCAGAGCTGGGGCCAGGCACAGTGTCTCATGCCAGTAATCCCAGCACTTTGGGAAGGTGAGGTGGGCAGACAGCTTGAGCCCAGGAGTTCAAGACCAGCCTGGGCAACATAGACCCCCTTCTCTACAAAAAGTTATCCAGGCATGGTAGCATGTGCCCGTGGTCCCACTACTCAGGAGGCTGAGGCTGCAGTGAGCTGTAATTGTGCCGCTGCACTCCAGCCTGCATAACAGCAAGACCCTGTCTCAAAAAATAAAATTAAAAAGGTGGGGGTAGGTTATAGGGGAGTTTGGACAACCCCTCTTCTTGAGATCCCACTTTCCTTTCTGGGATTCTTGATCTGAAAGTAGGGGCCTGCTGGGAGGTGTCCTGAGGGCCAGTGGCAACGTGAAAGAGCACAAAAGCCTCCTTGAGGGCAGGTGAGGGGCAGGTGGGCATAGAGCCAGGCCTCAGGGACCCATGGCAGGGCAGCTCCATCCCTGGGAGGTGAGGGCTGCTGCAGCTGGCTGCCACACCAGTTCCTTGGGCTGCCAGGCCTTTGTCTTCATGGGCTGCTGGCTTTCCCCCTGATCTGAGTGGTGAATGCAGATGACTGACAGGGCGGTGCTTTCTCGACACACAGGACACCTCCTCTTGGGGACTGGAGGGTGTGTGCCAGGACAGAGGCTGTACCTTGGCATGTGGGAGAGAGCGAGCCACAGGAGAGTAAGGGCTGGCTTTCAGGACACATGGAGAGCAGCCTGAGCTATTTTTCTAGATTCTATAAGAACTCTTCCTGCAGCGTGTGGAGAAACGGGCCGGGGAGAATAGTATCCTCCCTGGACATTTCCTGTACTGCCGATGTCCTCAAAAGCTGGGGAGATGGAAGGTGGGAGAAGGAGAGTTGTTTTTGCTTAAGACTGGGGAGCTAAGTCTTAGGAGAATCCACCAAATCTCATGGTTTTGTTGGGGACCTGCTGGCTGGCAGGAGGTAGGACAAGATGACCCCTTGGCCAACTGAACCTGTTATCTGCCTCCACTGTGGCTGATCTTGGCACCCTCCCCCACCACTCCCGAGGACAGGTGCCAGCTCAGGATGAGCCTTTGGTCAGGATGTCGAGGCTGGCCTCATTTCAGAGCATGCACCCTGCTGCAGTCCCCCAGGTGTGAGGCTCGGGACTAAATTGTCATGAAACAGAATCATGGCACTCCTGTCCATATTGGCAGGGGAAATAAAACTCAAACTGAAGAGAGTGGATGTAATGTTCTCAAGTGTAAGTTTTTCTTCCATAAATTTTTAATTAAACCATTGGCACCCATTATACCTTCATCCCTGGAAAGCTCTGGCAGATGCCAGAATTGTAGAACCATTTCAAACACATGTGAATCCAGTGAGATGACCCGGAGCTCTGTGGGGGCACAGTTGTGGCTGGAACTTGAACAGTTTGTGGTGACTTACCAATTGCCTTTTCAGCTGGTAAGATTGCGCCTGGTCTGTGTGCTTGAATTTGGCACGTTAGTGCTTTGCTGCACTGCTCAGAGGGATCTGGTGACAAGAGTCCAGGCCCTGAAATAGGTGAAGACATCAGAGGCGTGGGGCCCTGTTTTTCAATGTTCAAGAGTCTGCGTTTTGATTTTGATAAAAATCTGTTAAAATTCATACAATCTCATCAAGATTATCTGGGTACTCACCTCGTAACTTGGGTTTGCAGCACTGTTTAAGAGACCCTTTACATGTCTTCGTCATGGTGTTTGCACCAAGGGAAGGCCGAACGCTGCCGAGGTCCACGGTACAAAGGAAGTTCAGTGTGCTTGCATTTGTTCAGACAGAGAAAAGTGAAGGTGGAACAAAGCCCACACCAGTGGGCAGGACGGAGGTCGGGTACCTGTTAGCTGGTAGCCAGGGTCACGTTCATAGGGCAAACAGATTCTGGCTTGCCATGTGGCAGCTTGCTGGAGTTCATTGGCAGTAAATGTGCTGGGAAATATGTGAGGAAGAGATTGCTGGAATTAGAATTGGGAAGAAATTTTAGTAGCACCATAGACTAACGTGGCTTCAAGTGAACAGGACAGCTTTATAGAGTTATCAAGTAATCCCTCGTTAAAACTGATGCCTCAGGGTGGTTGTGTGCTGGGTTTTGGTTTTGTATCAAGGCTGGTTAACCCGAACTGAAAAACAAAGCCTTAAAGTTATTAATGCTACTTTGTCTGTTGCATACATCTGTTTGTAGGCATTCACTCTCTGCGTTGGTATTAATTAAATTGAAATACAGAAACACAGCTGGCCCGAGGCCACATCTTTCCACTATTAAACCCATTCTTGGCAATTGAACTTTAGCAAAACACATCATCTAATTTTATTGGTAGTTTTGTTTGTATTTTATTTCCAAATTTGCTTTGGCTTTTTATGTGTTCAAGGGTGATAAATACAAGGAGTGGATTGCACTAATTTTTGTTTCTATATATGTATCCATTCATGTACCCGGGATATTGCCTGAGCTCCTGCTTCGTGACAGGCATGTTCTAGGCAGGGCGGATGCAGCAGTGAGTAAAGATGAAGAAGGCTCTGCTCTTGTAGCGTCTACCATCTAGAGGCGGAAATAGCCCCCAAAACAAAAAGAACCCCGAACAACCCAAAACCTCATAAACAAATGTGTAGACATGCAACAAAATATTCGGTGGAGATGAAGGAAAAGTTAGTTGCATAAGAAGATGGAGCAGAGGAGGCCTTCCCCTTAGGTGAGGTCTGGGTGGGCCCGTCTGAACAGGTGATACTTACTCAGAGACCTGTGTGAAGCAACAGAGTGAAGCATACCAGTTGGGGAAGGGGGTTTTGCCTTAGGAAACAGCAAGTGCAAAGACCCCTGAGATGGCATGTGATCAGTGCATGATGTGTATTTTAATTATGCTGAGAATGAAGATTTTACACTCACCAGCACATGGCAAGACTGGGCACTTGGGGTTTGGGAGCCTGCAGCAAGAGGTGGAGTCACCAGGGTGGTGTGGGGGACTAGGAGGACCCCAGATCCAGGCAGAGGAGAAACCTGGCAGGCAGAAGGCTTCCCTCAGGCTTGTGAGCTGACAGGTTGGCATAGCACCTTGGCTTTGGAAGGGCAGAGGAGCTGGGTGGCACCCCTCCCCACCGTTGCAGCCTATTCCCCCGGAACATGGCCGCGGAGAGCGGTTGTTCTCAACCTTGAGCGTGCCGCAGGATCACCTAGAGGGCTTGTTAAAACATGGACTGCTGAGCTCCACCCTGGGATTTCTGATTCAGGAGGTCTGGGGTGGGGCCTGAGAATGCAGTTCACTAAGGTTCCCAGGTGATGCTGATGTTGCTGGTCCAGGGACCACACCTTGAGAGCACTGATCTAGAGCAAATGCAGACCATGCTGGGATTTGTCAGGAATGACCATCGAGAGAGAGTGAGGCACGAAGCCTTCACTAAAGGTGCCCCCAGGGGCGTGACTAGGTCTGCAGGGTCCCTTGCTGAACACCAGTGCATGTGTGTGTGATAGATGCTGCTCGTGCATCTGAGTTCATGGTCACTACTATTAGGGGCTTTGCAGGTCAGGGAGGACCCTGCAGCTCGGGCTGGATGGGGTTGGGTCACAGCTCTGGCACAGGGTCCTGGGCAGTCGGCACTCAGTAAATAAAGACTGACACGGAGAAGCGGTGGCCCTGATATTACCACCTAGAGATTGCATCTGTGCCCGTGAATCTGGGGTCCAGCGGCTCTTTGGTCCCGCCTCTTCTCTCTTCTCTCTAGTCCTCTGACTCCCCAGACTTTAGCCTTGTCTCCTAGCTGGGGCATGTGCGAGGTCCTTTGCAAGTGACATGAAGTGGTGGTATCCAAGGTGAGTCCCTGATACCTGGCTTGATTTTCCCAAGTCAAGACCCTCTGCTTTTCCCAGGAGTCTACTCCTGGGTGTGGGTTTGACCACTGGGGAGAGAAGAAGAAGGAGGCAGTGGGCCTTGCTCTGCCTGGAAGCATGTAGGAAGCTGATGGGAAACAGCTGAGCCAATAGCTCTGCACACTCAGAAGATAAGTCCTGGCTTCCGAAGAAGCTGCAGAAAATTGATTCTTTGCAGCTTCAGTGGTCATCCTGAAGGATGTGGGGGATGGAAATGGGGCCCATTTCTCATCGGTGTGTTCTATGCTGCTGCATCAGGTGTTCTTCAGGCCTGGGTCGGTATCCATCACCCCTCCTCATCTCTCCATCACTCTGTGCAGAGGAGAAGGGGCTGAGGGCTGGCCTTCCTCATCTTACCCTAGTGTCCAGCTGCTTCCTGCCTGTTGCCTGTCTTTTGGGCCCGCTGCCATGAATGGGAGAGGTGTGCATGTTCGTGCAGCCAAGCTGGGATTATGGCATTTGCACAGGGATGCAGCTGTGGGTCTGTATGTCTGGGGTGTCGGGGGACAGGCTGGGGTGGGTGATCTTTAGAGCTTGGCCTCTGCATGACTGCCTAGTCCCTCAGTGAATGCTGTAATTGGCTACTAGGGAGACATTAGCCAGTTAGGGAGGTCTGCATGTCCCTGGGTCTGGGTGGGCTTGTCACGGGCCAGGGCCGTGTCTAGGAACAAGGGCTGGCCCTCTGGTGTGTTTCCCCTGCATGTATGGAGAGTGGACTTAGCCCAGGCCCAAGGGATCTGAAAATTCCCACAGCCAGGGAGGAAGCTGCAGCTACAGATGGACGGTTCCTGGAACTCCTGTTGGCTTTGGATGATTTCATGGAAAACTTGGCCAGGGTGCTATAGGACAGAGCTGTGACCTCTCAGCTCAGCAGCCAGCATGAGGAGTTGCTTAGCCTTGTAGAGACAGGCAGTGTGGGCCGCCACAGCCCTCCCCTGGCTCTGTGTCAGCTCTGCCCTGTGGAGTCAGCTGGGTCTCTCTGGTCCCCAGCCTATCCTTGTCTGTCAGGAAGGATGCATTCTGCCTTGTTGGACTGATATGAAACCCCATGAGCTCAGGCCTAAAGAGCCCCACCCTTTGTCTGCATATGGAGGTAGGGATTAGAGACAGGAGTCTGGGCTGCTGTGGTCGCTTTTGTTGAGGCTTGGAATTTGGAAAGGAATGGTCTTTTCTGGTGGTCCTCACTGATGTGGCATATCGGTGTCTCTTTTCCCGAGCAGCGCCGCCTTGCATCACTCAAGTGTTTCCATCTTGCTTGACTTACTGGAAGGAGCCATGAGTGAACACCCTGCCAAAAAAGATCAAGTTCATCAGGGGGTTTGATGCTGAAGTCCCTGAAAAGTGGCAAGTGTTTCTTTTTCCTTGTCTTGTCTGCAGTGGCAGCTTCTGTTGCTCACACCTGGGGGCCCTGCTGCTTATGCTTGAGGGATGTGAGGAGGGACGAGGATGGAAGAAAAGGGGAACACTAGACAGTTTATCATGATGCAAAGATATTTTCTTTTGGTAAAAAGTGAAATGGGGGCCCTTATAAACCCTGAGCAGCCCAAAGTTGGAAAGAATAATGTTATGATTATAAAAGTGTTATAGTTACGATTCTTTCCCTCCCAGTTTGGCCTGATCAGGGATTCTATGTGCTGGCATTTCATGTATCACCTGTTAATGCCATAATGTTATTAATAATTATAAATTAAACAGTAGCCGACGTAGTAGGTTCTTATTTGCAGACACTGTGCAAAGCACTTTATATCTGTTATTTCATTTAATTATCTCAAGAACCCTATGGGTAATTACTATTGCTATTTGAAAGTGAGAGAAACAGGCTGAGAGGTGAAATTACTCGTCTGAACTCCACTGAGGCAGAGCAGGGAGGCCAACGGCAGGGGCTCTGGACTCAGACAGACCCTGGATTTACCCTAAGAATTACCACTTCTGGCTGGGTGCGGCGGCTCACACTTGTAATCCCAGCACTTTGGGAGCCCAAGGTGGGTGGATAATGAGGTCAGGCGTTCAAGACCAGCCTGTCCTATATGGTGAAACCCCATCTCTGCTAAAAAATGCAAAAATTAGCTGGGCGTGGTGGTGCACACCTGTAATCCCAGCTACTCGGGAGGCTGAGGCAAGAGAATGGCTTGAACCCGGGAGGCGGAGGTTGCAGTGAGCCGAGATCGCACCACTGCACTCCAGCTTGGGCGACAGAGTGAGTCTCCATCTCAATAAAAAAAAAACAAAAAAACAAAAAAACACACTTCCTGGGTGCCAGGTACTCCTGCCTGGGACAGACAAGCAGGGCAGTTGAATACGTTTGTTGCAATGATGATGGGAATGGTGATGGAGAGGTGACAAAGGGGAAAGGCCCTGGAGCTGGCCTCCTGAGTTCAAATCGCCGAAGCACTACTTAGCAGCTGGGTGGCCTTGGGCAGGTGCCTCAGTTTCCTCATCCGTGCAATAGGATAGCAGCTGTACTTGCTCAGGGGTTGTTGTGAGGATTAAGTGGCTCCACATAAAGGGCCTACAGGGTCTTTCCGTATGTGTTGCTGGTGATTATTGTCATCTGCGTGTTCTCCAAGGTCCACACTTTGCTACCCAGAAAGGCCTATGGGTTAGTGTGGTGAAGCTGGCATATGATGGATGTCCAGTAGGGATTCCCTGGATGAGAGAATGCAATTTACCAGGTGGCCTAGAGCCTTGGGCAATAATTAATCTTCTCTTAAAAGCATCCTCCCCATAACTTCCTGCCTGAGACTGACCTGCAGGTGGGAGCCTGCCTCTCATCCACAGTGGCCAGCACACCTTCCCTGGGTCTGCTTGGCAGGACGGTCATAGTCCTGGTGGATCCCGGTGGCTGCTGGAGGCACAGGCTCCTTGAGAGGCCAGTGATGGCAGACCCCAGCTCTCCGGCCTGTGAGGAGGGGGATGGTAGGAAAGCCATCCTTCTCTGAATAAGGGGGCTGCTCTGCATGAATGTGCAAGCCATGGAGCTGGAGCCCTCCCCCACGGCCTCGTGGGAAGGGACTTGCAGAGAGCCCAGCCAGCCCGTGCAGGAGGCTACAGGGCCTGTCAAGGTTAACAGATAGTCCTTGGCTCTCCCCTAGGAAGTAATTCAACTTCTCCCCTGACTTAGGCCACATTGTTTCAAAGCATGTGGTATAAACTACTGACCACTGGGGAATTGCTTGAATTAACAAACTCATTTTTCCCGAGACCTGAGGTTGAACTTGACTGAGGAGTTCAGGGCTCTTTTGTAGAAATCCAATAGATCAGGAGAACTCATGTTACACCATGTTTTCAACCTTGATCAAATGCACATTTTGCTTGGTGTGGCCTTCTCCCACGCCTGCAGTCTTCCAGCTGTACCGGATTGCTGGAATTGTGGCAAACCAGGCCGGTAGCTGGCACTGGAGCCTGAGCTTTGGGAGAGCTGGCCAATTGTCTGGGTTAGAAGGAGCTTCAGAACGACTCCTCCCTCCTCCTCTCCCTCTTCTTCTCTACTCCTGCTCCTCCTGTACCCACCTTTGGAGTGCCTTATACTAAGAAAGAAGGGGTATGAAAGGTTAGCTTGCATCACGTTGGTTTCCCCTCCTCCTCCTCCCTCCCCCTCCCCCCTCCACTCACTGTCCTGCATGTCTTGCTTCTGGCTATGAATACCTTCTGAGCCTGCCTCCACTCTGCTGGGGAACCCTCCATGAGGCCCACCAGAGATCCAAAAGAGCAACAGCAAGCCAGCCCCTCTCCCACTTCCAGCCCCATCCACACAGCCTACAGCCAAGTCTAGCCTAGAGCAGAGCTCAGTGGAAGCCAGGGGGGACAGTTCCACACTTTAGAGGACACAGGCCTCTCTCCTGTAGGCCAGGAGCTCCTCAAAAGGGTTCCACATGTGATACAGGCTGAAAACCACATGGGACAGTGGATATCCAGGGCATGAGGAAGACGGGACTCGGATAAGGAGGGTAGGTTTCCTGGAGTAGGCTCGGTGGCATTTGGAAGCCCACAAGAGAAGAAAGCAGGTTTTGACAGACTGATACGAACTGGAAAACAACAGTGCTCCCCACACTCTTTCCTCTGCCATCTACACACTGGGGATTCTGTTTTGGTGAGGCAGGCAAGCAGGTATGTGGCCTAAATGAATGGATCCTAATCCTGCCTAGCATCCTGAGCACCCAGGGAGCTGGTAAACCTGTGTATGCCCAGCCCCACTCCAATCCACTGCCCTTGGATGGGGTCTAGATACCTGCTGTTAGAAGCTTCCCAGAGGGTTAGGATGCTGGGCCGTGCTCCAGAGAGCCCTCCCTACTGCACGGGTTGGCTCTCTTTCACCTGTCTCCTTTCCTGCAGAGGCTCTTTGGGGTTCAAAGACCTCAGTCAATGGAGAGACATTTGATAGACTCTTCTCTGGCTTTCAGTGCCCCTGTGGCGCGCAGTTCAGCTCAGGCCATGGGAGGCGAGTTCTGGATCACAGTGCCTCTGGGTCCCAGGGGCAGGAGATGGGGGCTTAGCCACTCCCTATGCCAGCCTCTCTCCATCTTATGGTGGATGGCTCTCACCATCTCTTCTGCACGAGTTTCTTTACCCTTTTCAAACTTGAAAGAACCAGAGGCTGCCAGCTTTTGGAAGCATCATGATGTTTTGGCTTTATCTGTTGCTGCACCGCAGTTCTCCTGGAATTTCCTCACTCAATCAGGGAATCCAATTGGTCCAACTCATAGGTCCATGATAGCCCGTAGATTGGTGCCATGGGTAGCAGATGGGAGTGCAAACATACAGAACATGGTTGTCAGTGGGCCAGGGGTGGGGCAGGCAGGTGGTGGCCGTGATCAAGATAGATCTTTGTTGAGGATCTGAGAAGCTGAAGCCTGGCAGAGGCATCTCCATCAGGGAGAGCAGGCAGATAGTCATGGTTTCCATGTGCAGGCAGGGAAACAGAGCTAGAAGACTTGGGGATTCACGAGCTAGAGTCTTCATTTCTGTTTCAAGCATGAGGTCAGAGACTATGTGGGTGCAGAGGGGGCTCTTGGACCTTCTCACAGCCATAGACATGGTTCCTTGTCTGTGTATCCTAGAGCTTAGGGTCCTGGGAGAGGAATGGCAGGCTTGGGAATGACTTGGCTGTCTTGGTCTCCTTGTTTTAAGGAATTTCATTACAGTTTCTAGATCTGAGCACCCCTGTGAAGCTTCAGGGGCTTAGGAATTGTTTGGCATTGGATAGAGGTATTGTGCTGTGTGAACTTTTCTGGGGAGAGGGATCCATGCCTCTTTTAGCTTCTTCCAGGGCCCCCGGCATGTGAAAATGCACTGCTTCCTGGACACTAGTTCCTTGTGTCCTCAACCAATGAGACTGTGGAGCAAATGGCCTTGCTCGGTTTCATCAAAGGAATGTGGAAGTGTCTACAGAGTCTTTGTCCTCCCTAGTCACTTTCCTGGTGGCTGCTGTTGCCATAGGCAAGCTCTGGGGGAGTTTATCATCAGAAAAGGTGTGCACGACAAGTGCACAGGGGCTGTGTTTTATGCGTGTGCCAAGAGAAGAGTTTCTTGTCTTCACCTTTTCTGGCGTTGGTATTTGGCTTAGAGGAGCGTAGAAACTTGGGCCTAGAAGTGTTTCGGTCTTCCTCTCCCAGTGCTTCTTCCACAAGAGTACTCCTGGGGCCAGGGGAGCCACGAGAGCCTCCTGGGGTGTGTGACTGCAGGGTAAAGAACCTCTTTTAGTTTCGTGGCCCTTGGAGGCAGGGGGAGGTGGAATGACTCAAGCTGGCATAGGCTCATATCCAGAATACTCCCTTGTGGCTTCCTGCCTAAGTCAAGACCAAGCTTCCTGGGCTTTAAGGGGCTGTCTTAAGAGATCAGACCCGGCAGGGAATGCCTGCTTCACCCTCTCCTGAGCAGCCGTCATACGAGGTATTAGTCATGTGCCAAAAAGGTTCTGACGGAGACACGCCAATGGCCTTGGTTGGAATGCCGGAAAACATTCATCCTGGTGGCAGCTGTGGTGCTGACAGTGGGTCCTGTCACCCTCCTGCAGTCTGTGCTTCACGTGGACATGTGTGCACTATTTATGTGGCTAATAGGCTTCCTTACTGAGGGCAACATTTACATGCCATAAAAAGTCCATTAGGCTGAATTTAAGCTTCTCCAGAGATCATGGGGCCTAATCTGTACTTGGCATTTGACATGGAGGGAATTGAAAATCCCAAGGACCCTTTCTGCTGGGCCGTTGCCGGGATTGAGGAGAGAGCTTCGCTGAAGGCGTGAGTAGGTGAATGGATGTGTTAGGTGAGTGAGTGAGAGAACGATATCACTGGGGCCAACTGCTTGTCTCACAAGGCTGTGAATAGAAGTGAGACTTTATGGATGGGTATTCAGTAAACAGCCTTTATTTTTAATGCCAAGTGGCACAAAGTTAGCCATGGTAACAGGACAGTTTTGCTATTTTTGAAGATTAAAGTGTTTAAAAATACCATTGCCTGTTTTTAAATTGATGGTTCGAAAGAGTTTTTGTTTTCCCTCTTCTGCTAAAGGCTTCGTCAGGCTAAGAAGCAGTATCAGTTGATCTTTTCCCCGTTGTACATCCTAAGGCTGAGTTTAAGATGATCTCTTTTCTCAGGCCGCGTCCTTTGGCCCATCTGGAAGTGGGCCAGTTCTGCTGGCTCCTCTCCTTCCTGGGAAGGTCACCCAAGTCCCTGAGCCAAGGCAGACAGAAAGTTTGCTCAAGTCCAAGTCTCTACAGTTTGCTTGGGCCGAGCAGGGCTTATGTTGGGTCTGTAGATATTCAAGGCCTGACTTGAGTACCCTCCTGTCCAGCAAACAGCACAGCATGAGATGCTGGGGAGCCGTGAAATGACAGCCTAGATTCTGAGAGGCAGAGGAGTGCTGTGGGAAAGAATCCAGAAGCCTTTAGAACCAATGGACTCTGTGCTTGAATCCCGGCTCTGCCACTCAGTAGCTGCATGAGCCTGGTCAAGCGCCATGACTCTCTCGAGCCTCAGTTTACTCACCTGTCAGATGGGGATGATGACATCCATACTGCATGGGTTGTTCTGAATGCATCATGATGATAATGAGCGTTAAGTGCCATGCCACACATGACAGCAAGATCCTCACAGTCTGACTTTGGATCTTGCACTAGCACTCACATGACCCTGAAGATCAGAGAGATGGAGTGACTTGCTCGGTTTCCTGAATACGTAGGCATGCCATCCCTTCCCTCCTAGTCGCATCCTGCATTGCAGGTGGTGGATGAGCCTGTCAGAGGTAATGATGGATTGTGTGATCAGTACTCTCCTCTTGCCAGCCAGGCCAGCCAGCAGAGGGAACATGGGCCCATGGGCTGTGGGCCCTGACCAGCTCCTGTCTGCACACTGGGGGTGCAGTGATTTCAAGACCATTCCCCTCTCCTCAGGTTTGGGGTTTGGAGCAGAAGGGATATAGAGAGCATTCCCTTGCTATGGCAGTCCCAGGGGTCCGCCCAGGCTCCTGATCACTAGCAGGCCTCAGGACTAGCCAGGCTGTGGCGCTCGGCCTGGCCCTGACCTTGGGCCCTGAACTCCACTGGTGCCCTGCTTGTCATGCACAGCCCTGTCAGGGCCAGCTCCCTAGGCTGAGGGGCTGCCCTGTGCTCCTCTGAGTCCCCGGCCGAGCGCACCGAATTATGTAATGCTGCTGAGCCAACATTTACGCGTCGCAGCCAATTTGCCGGCCTAGAGTTACACTGTGCAGATGCTCTGCCTTACGGCTTGCTTTTGTCTCGGAGGCCATAAGCAGATAGCATAACCCCGCTTACCATTAGACGTTTCGCAAATCATCTAGGCTCGAGCGTGCTGCAGCCAGACAGTTCATTTATGCTGCGAAGGGTATGATTTGTAAAGTAATAAATTTCCTATCTTTCTGCCAGCAATAAAGTACAGCAAGCAGGCGAGGCCAAAGCCCTCCAAAAATATACTGGCTCCCAGCGAGACCTGGAAGAGAGCTCTTTCTGGTTCTGCTCCTCTCTGTTCTTGAATTTGTTGGATTCTGGGAAGTCAGGTTTGGGCCATAAATCCCCCTACCATCTGGGTGACCCTGGCCCCCGGCACAGATGTGTTACTTGCATGGGTAATTGGCTCCTAGCATGACACAGTTGTCACTTCCGGGTCCCTCTTGGTTCTGGCATTAGAAGAAGGCCTTGCTGGACATCATTCAGGCTGGGATGGAAAGTTGTTGACTCTCTCACCCCTCTTTGTGGTGGCGTGTCTGTGCTTGGGACCGGGGCAAGGCTCTTTCTCCTGTGCAGTTAGTGGCCTACAGTGATGGGTGTGTGTGCTGGTGGGAGCTCCTCTCAGTCTCCTGTGATGGCCTCCAAGGGCAAGTGCTTGGTCAGCCCCAAAGGGATCTCTGTTGTGAAGGTGGCTGCTGTGAGCAGAAGGTCAAGGAGGAGCTCAGAATGAGCCTTGGGAGTCTGGATCCCAGTTTCTTTGTTGGAGGAGGCTTGGTGGATGGAGGGCACCTGTGACCAGCAAATACTTCCTTAGAAGCCAGAGTAGTCAAGGAGCCCCTGGAGTTTCAGCCCAAAGTGACAGCTGTGTTCTGCGACCCTGATGGGCAAATCGGTGGCTTGAAGTCCCCAGTTTTGGCCAGGCCCTTTCTTCTTGCCTCCTCCTTCTATTTAGAGGGGCCTGGCTCCGACCTCTGTCTCAGATGATGGTGAGGACTCACACAGCTCCCGCTCTCTGCTGGTGGGAGCTATCATTGTTTCCTCTGCAGGCAAGATGGGCCTGAAAATGGTAAAAGCCTCACACTTAGCTCTGATGGTTTCCCCTGGCCCTCACCTTCTCAATCTTCATATTCTCTCTTTTTTCCTCTTCCTTCTCCTCCTTTTCCACATCTGCTTCCACTTCTTCCACCTTTGGTATTTGCTAAAATTTTGTCCCACTTAAAAATTATGTAATGTTTGGGGACTAGATAAAAGTAGGAAAAGAAAAGTATAGTGAAATGGCTCAAACACAGTCACTGTGACTGTTCTGTTGTTTCTAGGTTTTCCACCTGGTCTGTGGGGACCCCAGAAAGGGACATCCCCCTTCACTTAGGGCAGCCCTGACGTCACCTGTGGACACAGGGCCTTTTCTAGAGTTCTTTGTCCTAAGCGGGGTGGGTAGATAGAGTCTCCTCCCTGCTGTCGTGAGGAGAGTCTGCTTTTTATATAGTTGCTCCCCAGCATCAGAATCCAGCCCCAGAGGTGCAAAGGAAGGAAGGCAGAGCTCCAGGAATGTCCCTGCCCTGACTTAGTCCCCACAGCCTTTTTTCAGCTGTCTATACCCCAGCTCCTCTACCTGGCAGTCTCACCCTTCATCTCTTCCAGGTCTCAGTTCAGGCCCCTCACTCAGCTCAAGCATTTGCTGCGCGTGGATCTCAGTTTGCTTGGGGGTGTGGGGGAGTTGATAGTTCCTGCCCAATAGGATTGTGAGGATTAAAGATGATCTGGCATGCAGAAGGTTTCAGCAAATGTTGGCCAATAATGCAGGTTCAATGTATGCACTGGGCATGGGGCCACCCTGTTGCTCAATCCGAGGGTGCCCACACATGTCAGCATATGTGACCTTCCCTGACCCTGTGAGGCAGTGCACAGCCTTTGCCCTATGTGGCGGCCCTGAAGGTGATATCTCCAGGCCTGGGACTGGAAAATGAGGGTCCAGGAGAGAAGTTTTTTGGAGAGGCAGTGGAGTCCAGTGTGGCGGTTGAAGTGGAAGACTCAATTCTTTTGCTCTGGGAGAGTGAGGGGGAATGGCAGGGGAGGGTGACTCAGGCCACAGGGAGGAAGCTGCTGATTGCGGTCTTTAGCTCTTTGGAGAAAGATGAGGACCAGAAGCTGAAAGTGGTCAAGACCTGTGGCCAAAAGACCAGAGGAGAAAGGCTTCAGAGAAAGACAAGTTGCCATGGGTTATCAGGAAGGAAGACCTGGAACTGGTGCTGGGAGCAGGTGTCTCAGGAAGGAGATCCTGGGCTGAATTGCCCTCTCCTGCCACAGCTGCAGGGGTGCCCAGAGTTCAGGTCTGGGTGTAATAGGGAGGGCAGGTGGGGACTGGCAGAGGATTCCCTAAGCTCTGTAGGACATCATGTGTCATTCTTCCCTCTCCAGTGAAAGGGCAAATGCTCGTTGAGCAGGTATCATGAGCTAGGCACTATGTGAGAGACTTGATGTGTATTAGTTCATTTAATCCTTAGGGCAGCCCTGAGAGCAGGCATTAGAATGGGGAAACTGAGGCTCAGAGATGTTACATGACTTGCCCAAGTTTTCCTGGCTAGGAAGGATATAGAAATAGGATTCCACTCACTTCAAACACTTCCCTATAGACTGTAGAGACTGGCTAGCCCTGCAATCTGCTGGCTCCTCTGGTGTGTTTGTCAAGGTGCCTGGCACACAGCAGGACTGAGTGAGTGTGTGGTTGAGCCCAGGTCTGTGTGTTTCTGAGCCCATGCAAGGTCCTGATGGTCCCCCTGAGCAATTCTTTCTGCCTGGTGGCAGCCCCCTTGCCTTGCCTGGAAAGTACTGCTTGTTGGTGGGGGGCAGTCTCGGGTTGACAATACCCTGCCGCCAGCTCGCTAGCCCCTTTAGGCCCCAGAGAAACTATTGAGTCATGCATTTTGCTTGGGTTTTGATGATTCGTGATTCATGCTTGTGAGGAAGGCAAGGGAGTGACTCATGCTGATTTAATAAGCTTAGGAATATTCCTGAGAAGTGGCTGATAAAGTGCCGGCTGGCAGCCCACTCCCCTGTGGCTGCCAGCGCCAAGTGCTCAGAAATCACCAGGTTAAACAAGTCTGCAGAAAATTCAATCTTCCTGGCATGATTTTCCTTATTTGAGCTAATAGCACGAGGCGCCTTTCTCCTGGCGCTGCGAAGTGCACCGGGGGCCATGCCGTCTTCCCTGGGGTTGTGGGGGAGAAGGAGAGCAAATGCCTTACATTTAGCAGATGGGCTAGGAACTGCTAGGACCTCCAGGGTTTCCTTGTGCCCTTGGAACCAGCAGTTCCGCCGCAAGGGAAGCCAGCTCTGTATCCTAGTGCCGGAATGATGGGGTAATGTGAGTGAGCTGCCCTTCTTCACAGGGTACGTAGAATGAGGCCAGACAGCAGCTGTCCTGGCCTCTCCACCGTGTCAGAACTAACACGGCTGGGTTGGGCCCACTGGGGTCAGGTTACTCACGGTAAACAAGTGCAGGTGGAGTGTGGTGGCTCAGAGGAGCAGGCCACCGTGTTGAACCCCTTGTGGTATGTGAAGCTCAGTGCTGGGACCAGCCAGGGGAACAAGGGTTCTGGCTTCTTGGGTATGAGACTTGTTTAGAGTGCAGACTCTCCTCCCACTTCCCTAGCCTCTCCCTTCCTCCATCCAAAAAAATGTTATTGTGAGAACACACATAAAGCATTTAACATTATGATCACCTCCATATCTGCTAGTTTTTATTTCAGAATTAATATTCTTAGGTCAGACGTGGTGGCTCAAGCCTGTAATCCCAGCACTTTGAGAGGCCAAGGTGGGAGGATCACCTGAGGTCAGGAGTTGGAGAGCAGTGACGGCAGTGCTCTTTAGATAGATCCGAGCTGTGCAGCACAGTGGTTCTTATCCCTGTGTGTCTGTTGAGCTTTGGAAATACCCACTCTGGCCAGTGCAACTGAAGGACTAGATTTTTTACTTCTATTTAATTTTAACCCCCTCTAAACAATTCTAACCCCTTCTAAATAATTTAAAACCCCATCTCTGTTAAAAATACAAAAACTAGCCAGGCATGGTGGTACACACCTGTAATCCTAGATACTCTGGAGGCTGGGCATGAGAATTGCTTGAACCTGGGAGGCAGAGGTTTCAGTGAGCCGAGATCATGCCACTGTATTCTAGCCTGGGCAACAAAGCAGACTTTGTCTCAAAAAATATATAAATAAATAAAAAATATTTATTGCTATTATTTAACATCTTTTGCATGCCAGGCAAAAAAAGGTGAATACTGGTGCAAATTGGTGAGCATGTTACATGAGAGCTAGAAATCCTAGAGCTGGTCGGCGGGGAGGGATGGCTAATGCCTGTAATCCCAGCACTTCGGGAGGCTGAGGCAGGCAGATCACGAGGTCAAGAGATAGAGACCATCCTGGGCAACATGGTGAAACCCTGTCTCTATTAAAAATACAAAAATTAGCCCATGTGGTGGCACACGCCTGTAGTCCCAGCTACTTGGGAGGCTGATGCAGGAGAATTGCTTGAATCTGGGAGGTGGAGTTTGCAGTGAGCTGAGATCATGCCATTACACTCTAGCCTGGTGACAACATAAGACTCCATCTCAAAAATAAAAAAGAAGTCCTAATGCTGGTCTAGCCTCACCTCTCATGCTGAAGATGGGGATACTGAGGCCTAGAAAGAGATGAAGAGATTGATGGGAGTCTCATAGGGAGGGAGTGGCTAGGCCAAGCCTGGAACCCAGGGCTCCTTCTGCCGTGGCATGCAGCTGTCATGCTGGGATGTGCTGGTCCGAGGGGGCTTCTTGTAGGAGGTGGATTTTGAGATGAGCCTTGAGATAAGAGTAGGAATGAGACCAGCAGGAGAGGAGGGGCGAGAAGGGCCAGAGCACAGTGGCCCAGGATAGCATAGAGATGGGATCCACGAGGGGAGAAGGGTCAGGAGAGACTGGGTGGGGGGGCACCAGAGCCATCTCAGTAGCATCTTTTGAGGGGTCCTGCAAAGGCCCCACTGCCCCCACATCCTGTTTTCTGCCACTGTCATCAGGTGCTTCCTCCTGGCCTGTGTAGATCAGATGGTGGCCCTGGGGCCTGAGGCTCCATCTGCTTGCCTGCCTCAGTGCTCATGCTCAGCAGGGTCCCATGGAAGTCCAGTCGTCCACGCTGAATGCATCTCTCCCAAGAGAGCAAACCCATTCAGTCGTAGTTTGCTATTAACCCCTTATGTTAGTTTCCTAGGCCTGCTGCCACAAATTGCCACACATCAGGTGGCTTAAAACAACAGAAATTGATTCTCTCAGAGTTCTGGAGGCTGGAAGTTCAAAACTCAGGTGTTGGCAGGGTTGCCTCCTTCAGGAGGATGTGAGGGGGACCCGTCCTACTTCTTGCTGGTGGCTTCTGGAGGCTGCTGGCAGTCCTTGGCACACTGTGTAACTCTGGTTTCTGCCTCTGCCTTCCTGTGGCCTCCTGCTCTGCTACATCTCTTCTTCTTATAAAGGCACCTGTCATCAGGTTTAGGAACAACTTGGATGAGTCAGCCTGGTCTTATGCTAAGATCTTTAACATAATTATATCTGCAAAAACTTATTTTTTAAAATAAGTTCATGCTTAGAGGTCCTGGGTGGACGTATCCTGGGGTGGGGGTACCATTTTCACTACACCTCTGAAGCAGTGTGACAGTGTGGCCTTGGGAGATGAGTCAAAAGGGAGCTTTTGTTGAGATGAGGGGATAAGTCTGGGTGAGACATTGCACTGGGGGTCCTGGGCAAATTCCCAGAAGTGTTTAGGCCTCGGCTGTAGAGATTTTTCTTAGATGGGAAACTCAGGGCCCAGCTCTAAAGTGATGATCAAGGTGTTGACAGGCTCTACCATGTTGAGGATGGACCTCGGTGCCCATGGTCCCCTCGGGGGCTCATCCAGGGCAGTGCTATCCAACAGAAACCTCTGTGGTGATGGCAGTGCTCTTTAGTTAGATCTGAGCTGTGCAGCATAATGGCTCCTATCCCTGTGTGCCTACTGAGTTTTTGAAATACCTACTCTGGCCAGTGCAAGTGAAGGACTAGATTTTTTACTTCTATTTTATTTAAATTTAAATTTTAACTTAGATAGGCCTATGGGACTAGTGGCTTCTGTATTGAGCATCGCAGCTCCAAAATCTCTTGATTTCACCCCTTCTCCTCATCTGTTTTTCATTTCACTACCAAAAATGTAATTTAGCACAAAGAACTGAAATTGTTCTTCTGTTTTTTGTGTATGTAATGCTTAAAGTTTTAACTTTTGGCTTAGAGAAAAAGGCCAGATGGAATTGACCGGTTTTAGGCCCAGTACAAGAAAGCATGGCCTTATCTTTGAGTGAAATGGAAAACAGGAGTGTTTTCCTGTGGACAGTGCTGTGGCTCACAGTTGCCTAGTGGTTAAGCGTGAGAAGCAGCTGGAGAGGCTGCAGTAAAATCTAGTCACTGGCAGCAAGGAGGTTGCTGGCAAGGTTGCTTAGAGCCAGGAGGAAGGGATGAGAACCCATGTCTCCATCCCTGGGCTTTGTTTGGAAGTCTATGAGTTTGGGGCTCTTTACACTTTGTCATGGTTTCGGGAAGCCACAGGTGAAATTTGGGTCTCATAAAGCAATTTCCCCCCACATTACTCCTCATATTCCTGCTTTCCCAGATGGATATTGTATATTGTCTTCCTTTAGAGGGAGGATATTTATTTTTGCTCACTGTTTAGACATGATCTTAAGCAACACTTCATTTATTTACACGTTGGCATGTTTTTGACCCTTCTGGATAAAAAATAAAGTGTCTGCCTGAGAGCAGAAAATCTCCAATGAGGCGGCTCTTCATAGGGTGATGGGATCTTCATGGACTTAAACTGTGTGGGCTTTAAGTTCAAGCTCATCTCTTCTTCCTTGCTTCCTCCTGGCAAACCAGGCACAGTAGCATCAAGACTCAAAGCGCCTGCTTCTGTGCTCATGCTCCGTGGGCACCCCTGGGTCACACCCCTGGAGTCACAGGCCAGGAAGAAGAGAAGGTTCTGGGCCTCGACTCTGGTAATACAGGCAGATCAGGCCTATTTTAGATGGGGATTTGTAGAGGAGTCTCCTGCTCGGGGTCATGCTAGCACAGCACCGTGTACATGTAAGACACAAATTAGGGATTTAGAGGCACGGAGGCTGCTGAGTGTTGCTAGGCAACCTTTCAGCTGGGCCTGGAGGTAACACAATCTCTGGGAGCAGCCCGGTAGGAAGGCCTCATAAGGACAAAACTGAACTTTTAGAAGAAGCGTCTTCTGCAACTGCACCTGCCTCGCTTGCCTCTAGGAGGGGCGGGTCAGCAGAGCCATGTTATATAAGCCGCTTGGGGGAATTGTGCATCTGTGGATTCTTTATTTGTTATGTCTTCTTTTCCTTATGTATGTATTGATGTCCCACCTTGTACAAAAGAGGATCTGTGGTGGCTTTCAGAAATACAAATGCTGCAGCAGGACAACAAAATAAGAAGCAGCTGGGCAAATGGAAAAAAAAAGTAAGAAAATAGGAGTGTGGCTGGTCACTCAGCAAGGATACTGAGGATTGACTATGTGCCTGGCTCTGTAGAGACAGCAGTGGACAGATAAACAGACATGGTTCCTGCCCTCCTGGAGCTTACAGGCTAATAGGAGAGGTACAGGAGTAGAGTAGGGGAGGGAGGAAGAAAGGCCCCCATGAATCCAGTGCTTTTACTAGGAATAGGCTGCAAATTAAACTGTGAGTGTCCTGGCAGCCAAAGCAAGAGGGGGATACAATTATGGGGGTTGGGTGTGTTGTCAGTGTTGTGTTGGTAATAATGCAGCAACAGTAGCTTCATCCTGCTGTCCTGGGTGTGCATATCATGACGCAGGTACCCCCAGGCCTTGTGCAGAAATGCTTCCTTCTCTCCTGCCTTGCTGTCAGCCTCCCGTTGGTGCCAGCCTCCTGGCTGGGTTCGTGCCATCCAGGACATCCTGGTAGCCATCCCTCAAGTGAAGGGCTTGGGTGCTCTTGGGCCCAGCCCGTCCCAGAGCTCTCCCCTGCACTTCCTGTCCATGTCCTAGGCCGGACAGTTCCCTCCTCCTGGAATGCTGCTTATCTCTGTTGTCTCTGTCTTCTCTCCTTGCCATGTAGGGCCCTTCGCAGTTTTTAATGTGCCCTTTACTGATAGCATTTTATTTGCTTTTTCCAGTGATAGGGTTTGGTTCTGTGTCCCCACCCAAATGTTATCTTGAATTGTAATCCCCATGTGTCAAGGGAGGGACCTATCATCCCCACATGTTGAGGGGAAAGTGATTGGATTATTGGGGCAGTTTTCCCCATGTGTCTCATGATAGTCAATTCTCATGAGAGCTGACGATTTTATAAATGGTGGTTTTCCCTGTGTGCTCACATGCGTTTTCTCCCCTGCTGCCACGTGAGACATGCCTGCTTTCCTTGCCACCATGATTGTAAGTTTCCTGAGGCCTCCCCAGCCATGCAGAACTGTGAGCCAATTACACCTCTTTTCTTTATAAATTACCCAGTCTTGAGTAGTATCTTTATAGCAGTGTGAGAATGGACTAATACATCCAGCAACCCTGGTGAGCCAGCTGTGATCTTAGTCATGTACAGCAAATGGAAGCAGAGGCACAGACTGGCCTGAGTTTGCCTGAGGTTGCACAGCTTCCTAATCCCACTTTGCCTCCTGTCTTTGGCTTCTTCAGATTTGGCATATATAACTTTGCTTCTATAGTTGGGGTGCAGCTTGCTCTAATTATAGAGTCTGGAAGAGCCTTATCCTTCTGCATCTCTGTGGGAGGCAGGCTGGAATTGATCAGGCCAGGCTTATCACTTCATCCCATGGATACGAGCATCTGGGGTCTTGTTTCCCCAAGGCAGTCCTTTTGTTTGTCTGTCTGTCTATTTATTTGTTCATTCAACAAATATGTCACGAGCATGCCAGGCACTGTGTGCTAACCACCTACCATCCTTGCCCTCAAGGAGCTCACAGTTTAGTTGAAGAAGGGTCAGGACATGTGGGATTAGAGTGCGGAGTAAAGGAAGTGTGAGTATGAGAGTATTAGTCAACAGCAACACTGGGTGCTTAGGGTGGCAGGAGGTCTGGGACCAGGACATATGAAATAATTGCAAAACCTGGACATATTTAGCCTATTTGTGTTGTATTTCCACTGCTGATTAACACTCTAACTCACACTCACACCATTTTTACTGTGCACTCTAATCTCACATGTGCTGATCCTTCTTCTAATTGGGCAAATTTCACTTTAAAGTGCAAGGTCATTGAATCCCATATACCCTTGTATGAGTTATTCATAGAAGAAAGGAAGACCTCACCTCTTGTGTTCTTGGAAGCATGTATCTATTAATGTAACCTGAATTTGCAGCAGCCTGGTGGTATAAGAGATAGCCTTGGATAGGTATGCCTACAGTGTAAGCCTCTCATACAAGAGGAGCCTTCTTGAGTGCTTGGAGACATAGGGCCCACTTTTCCCCGAGGAATGTTGAAGGAATCTTATTTAAGAACATGAGGGCAAGTGCCTTGTGCGTTTTCCATTAATGAATGCTGCCCGCTTTCTGGTTATATAGCAGAGTTCTTGGATGGATTTCAATGTTTTGATCCCTCTTTAAAGAAAGCAACTGCAGCTATCCCAATTATGAATATGGAAATACCCTTGTGCAGCCGTTGGGGTGGGAGTTGATTAGGCCATTGTGTTATCATTCCACGCATCTCCCAGAGATAGAGACCTGCATAAGTAAAACCATATTTCTGTTCTTCACGATCCAAGGTACCAATCCCAGGACTATCGGGCAGACTCAGAAGCAGCACGTGGGGAACGTTCTCAGACTTGGTAAGTAGCTGGCTCACTGATAGAGAAGGTTAAGGTGCTTTTGATCTCTTCTCCCCTAATGACAATGTCTCTAGTTTTAAAAATGACTTGGGGAAGTCTTTCTTTGAACAGTCAAGAGGTTGCTTCAAAAAGAGCCTGCCCTATTTCTAGACAGTGTGTCTGGGAAGTTACGCTGCTGAATTGTAAATGGAGTTGGGTGAATTTTTCCTTCTGCCACCTTAAAATTGTGACTTTGTCCCTTAGATGCATTAGCTGATGACCCACAGTGCACCAAGGCTCCCCACCTTCTCCTGGAGTCAGGCCGCTTGTCAAGTCTCCAGCCCCTCAGAGGCTGGCCCTGGACAATCAGATCTGTGTGCATTTGCCTGAGGAGTCATCTCTATGCTCCTCCTGCTTCAGGGCGTTGTTTTGGTGCCATACTCTGCAACCTCCAGTCTTGGCCCTCTGCCTGTTGTGTTGAACAGGTAGCCTGGGGAGAGGGACTTCCTGAGACGGCAGAATGATTTAAAGGCATTCTGGTGAGATTCAGTCTGGAAGCAACAATTCCTTGTGCAAGATGTGTGAGGGGAAAAAAATAAGTGTATCTTGCTCTGGCCTTCAATTCATGGAAAGCTATATGAATTAGAACTCAGATGTCAGATCATCAATGAAAGAAAATCTTGTTTAAGTAAACGTTTAACTGTTCACTCATGTCTTCATGATGTAGAGATTAAGAGTGTGAACCTTAGAGGCTGGGCGTGGTGGCTCATGCCTGTAATCCAAGCACTTTGGAGGCCAAGGCGGCGGATCACCTGAGGTCGGGAGTTCAAGAATGTGAACCTTAATGTAGACTGCTTGGGTCCCAGTGTCACCAGTTACTAGCTGTGTGGCCTTGGCAAGTCATTTAATTTCTCTGAGCATAAATTTCCTCATCTAGAAAACAGCATCCAGCTCACTGAATTTTGAGAAATTGAATAATGCATAAATAAAACACTACCTGCTTTATCTGCTCTGCGCCCTACCAAATTTTGTTGTTGCTTTGTAGTTATAATTATTCTAATGGTATTCTAATCCTAGATTGATTGTTCACGAGCTTTTTACCTTACTTACTATGACTAAGCTCCATGTGCAGGGAGCTATGGGACAGAGGGAAGGGTCAGATTTCATTTCAGTTGCATTAAAGAAGAATAAACACACAGAAAGTAAAAGTGTGTTTCAAAGCATATAAATTTATACCAAAAGAGAGAGATCATTACTAATATTCATATTAGTGAGCGTTTCCACATAGAATATAAAAATGCAAGAGAATATTGCTTCCACCCTAACAGCAAAAAAAATGAGACAGTTTATAAAATCACATATTTTTAAGTCTGTCAGCGAGCTGCCCTGAGGATACGAGGTAACCTAATGAGTTTAAATCAAAGGAGTGGCAGTCCCTCCAAGGATATTACCCTGGGCAGAGCAGCAGGAGGAGGAGGTAAATGTCAGAGATAGTAAGAAGAAAACAACTGAAATTGTAATCATGTTTTAAGAGCCAAGTATGGGCTAGCATAACGGTGTAGAATTATAATAAGCTGCAGACACAAGGGGTGTCTTTCTTTTGTCCTTTGGCTTCCACTGAGAGCTTACACAAAAAAAATTGGGGATGGAGTAAGAGGATAGACAACTCTCTATGACTTAGGACCTACCTAAATCTTTAGTGAGAGAACCAGTAAAAACCCTCCCATGCTCATGACCTCAAGGCCTGCCCAACACTGAGGTTAGAGCAGAAAAACCAAGAGAAACCCTCCTGGACCATGCATGGGCAAGAGTCAGTGATTATCTGCTGCTGAGGAAGGGGCAGAAAATCAGGCCTTACTCAGGATCTTGCACTGAGTATAAAGCAGCTATTATCTGCTACTGGGTGAGGGCTGGAAACCTACCCAAGCCCAGGGTTCTGTACGGAGTATGAGATAATGTCATGTGGGGGAGAGAGAGGAGAGCTAAGAGTGATCCTCTCTAAGGCCCAGGTATGTAGGGCTGCCTAAATAAATCTTTATGAAAGCTGGGCCTTGCGTTAGGCATCAGGTGGTAGTATTAAACTAGGAGAGGGGCAAGAATGTTGAGAGACCTCTTCTACAGTGCAGAGCCTACCGAAGTCTAAGGTGGTACAGGAGAATTGAGAGAAACTGTCCATTACACTAGGCTTCATGCTAAGTGTGGGACAGCAATAGTTCATTAGTAAGAGAATTTGAAGATTCTAGTGCATTGAATGTAACTAAAACAATAGCAAAGTCCAAACCCAGCTGAATTTCAGATTAGATACTAATTCAGCTTCCCATATTAACAGACTGATAGAGGAAGACAGTTCTCCATTTTTTGGTGTATTTACCTCATCACTACTTTTTACATACAATGTATGGCATTCAATATAAACTTATCAAATGCATATACACCCTCAGGCAAACAGACAAACAGTGATATGATCACTTGTCAATACACAAAATAGTCAATAGAACCAGACCAAAGTTGGCCCAAATGTTGCAATTATTGGACAGGGACTGTAAAATAGCTAAGATAAATATGTTTAAGGATCCAGTTGAAAAGGTAGGCAATATGTATGAACAGATGGAGATTTTCAGCAGAGGTATGAAAACTATATATAAAAAAATATCTAAATGGAAATGCTAAAAAATGAAAATCATGATGTCAGACATGAAAAATTCTGTCACTGAAATTATTAGAAGATTAGACACAGGAGGAAAAAAACTTAAAGAGATCAATACAAATGATCCAATCTGAAACAAAAAGAGAAAAAAGAATGAAAAAAATAAGAGTATCTGAGTTCTATGGTATAATATCAAATGTCTTACACATATATAATTAGAATACCAGAAGAAGAAGGTGAGAGAGAATATGAAAGAAGAAATATTCAAAGATAAAATAATAAAACATTTTCTAAAACTGGGAAATAAATATACACCTTACCAAGAAGCTTAGAGAATCCCAAGCAGAATCAGTCAGATTGCCAAAAACAAAGGATAAAGACCATGGTATGTCAGCTTTAGCATGCTGCAGGAAAAAACAAAAGATCTTGTCAACCTATAATTCTATATTCAATAAAAAATATCATTCAAAAATAAAAGTGAATTGATATTTTTAAGCAGACAAAACCAGAAAGAAGCAATCTTCAGGGGAGATGCTAAAAGGAGTTCTGTAGGCTGAAGGAAAATGATTTCTGATGGAAACTCGGTCCTACAGGAAGAACTTGTATGAATGGAAAACATCAGAAAGAGTGAATAGGTCTATAAATAAAAAGCAGCTTCAAAACTCTTTAAAGATAATTGGCCATTTAAAGTAAAAATAGTCTGAGCCCAGTGGTTCAGCCTTTGGGAAGCTGAGGTGGGCAGATCACCTTAGGTTGGGAGTTGAAGCCTGACCAACATGGAGAAACCCTGTCTCCACTGAAAGTAGATGTTATTTGGCAGACATCTACTTATTGAAAAGACTGTCATTTTCCCGTTTATATTCTTGACGCCTTTGTCAAAAATGAGTTCTCTGAAGGCGTGTGGATTTGTTTCTGGGTTCTCTATTCTGTTCCATTGTTTTGCCAGTACCATGACGTTTTGGTTACTATAGCTCTGTGGTATAATTTGAAGTCAGGCAACGTGATTCCTCTAGTTTTATCGTTTTTGCTCAGGATAGTTTTGTGATTCCATATAAATTTTAGGATTATTTTATATGGAATGTTTTTTCTATTTCTGTGAAGAATGTCACTTGTATTTTGATAGAGATTGCATTGAGTCTGTAGGTTGCTTTGGGTTTCCTAAGGGATTTAAAAAAATAAGTAGAACTAATAATTTATGTTTTCAGTGTTGCAGGATATAATTAAGTTATAATTCCATATGTGAGCAATGAACAATTAACAATGAAAATGTTAAAATAGTAATTGTAGCATACAAATTCAGATACTTAAGGATAACTTTAATGAAAGATACAAAAGACTGGAAACTATAAAACACTGATGAAAGAATTAAAGACCTAAATAAATTAAGAGATATATCATGTTTATGAATTAGAAGACTCAACATTAAGATGTTACTTCTCACAAACTGACCAGTCCTAAATAAAATTCCAGCAAGCTTTTTATCTTGGACAAAATAATTTAAAATTTGTATGAAAAGGCAAAAGACCTAGAATAGCCAAAACAGTATTGAAAAAGTAGAGCAAATTTGGAAGATTTACCCTGCTTGACTACAAGACTGACTGCATAGCTACACTAATCAACACAATGTGGTATGGATAAAAGAATGGGTTAAGAGATAAATGGAACAAAATAGAGCCCACGCATAGACCCAAAATATATGGGAAAGTGATTTTTGACAAGGGTGCCAAGGAAATTCAGTCGTGAAGGAAAATCTTTTCAACAAAAGGTACAGAAACAACTGGATATTCATTTAAAAAAAAAACCTTTGTTGTTACCTCTAGTAATATAGGAAAATCAGTTCAATATGGATCATTATATAAACGCAAACACTAAAGTGATAAAATTACTAGAAAAAGCATACAGTATTTTTGGAACCTGGAGTTGGCAAAAGTTTCTTAAATAAATCATGGAAAGTACAGGCCATGAAAGCAAAACTTGATAAACTGGGTTTCAACAAAATTAAATCTTTCTGCTTATCAAAGATGCTATTAAATAAATAGGCAAGCCATAGTTTTGCCACCACACATCTGACAAAAGACTTCCGTTTGGAATAGAGAATTCCTGCAGTTCAACAATAAAAAGACAAAGAATATAATTAAAAATGGTAAAACAACTTGGATAGAAATGTCATTAAAGAATATATACAAATGGCCAATACACACATGAAAAAGTTTTAAACACTACTAGACATCAGGGAAATGCAAATTAGAATTGTAGTGAGTTACCACTAGATACCAACTAGAAGTCGGTTAAAGTGAAAAAAACTGATGACACTAAAAGTGGGAGAGGATGTGGAGGCACTGGAACTCTTATGCATTGCTGGCAGGAGGGTCAAATGGTATAACCAATTTGGAAAACTAATACTTCCTTTAAAAGTTAGAAATACACTTACAACCAGCATTTCTATTCCTAGGTATTTACATGAGAGAAATGAAAATATATTTCCACACAAATCCTTGTATAAGAATGTTCGTAGCCATTTCATTCATAAAAATTGAAAACTGGCAAATAGCCCAGTTGTCCATGACTGAAGAATGGATAAACGCACTGTGGTTTAAGTTAATGCAACAGGTTACCAAGCAGTGTAATCGAATGAATGACTAATACATGCACCATCATGGATGAATGTCAGACATAGGATGGGTGACGGAAGCTGCTATGAAAATGTGCATGCTAATGTGATCCATTTATAAGAAAATCCAAAATAGGAAAAACTAACCTATGGTGATAGAAATAAAATCCGTGGTTGATTCTGGGGGTGGGAGATTGCTTGGAAAGTGTGAGAAATGTCCTGTACTTTACATATATTCATCAAAACTGATTGAACAGAACACTTAAGACCTGTGCCCTTTATGTAAATTATACTTCAATTAAAAAAAAAGTGAGATAAAAGTCATTTCTTTCACTGGGCTTCAAGTCATACTTGACAAATTTGAAGTTGCTATACTTAATATAACCCAGTGATGTAACTATTGTAGTGTGATGGACAAGTGCTGGAATAAAACTATTGGAAGCCTGGTTTGAAATACTGAATGAAGGCTACATGCTTTAAATAAATCTATTCTTCAGCAGCATCTGTTCTCGAACCCAGATCTGCCCATTCAGCCTAAGCTTTCAGGGAGGTCAGGGCAGGTATGATCCAGGCCCCTGCCTGCCTCATGGCACGTGGGCAGGGTGTCCCTCTGAGCTTTGAGGCAACAGTCACAGCTGTAGCCACGGATACGAGCCTCAATGGTATCTGCTAATTATCTGCTTCTAAATCTGGAGTTTATGAAATGCTCTTCACTACACTTCAAAAGCTGGGAGTCATCCCGGTTATCTATTCAAGAGCCCAGCTTATCCCTCTCTCTCAAAGTCTGTGACATCAAAGACTTGGTTTTATTGCAAAATTGTCTGGAACGATGGCGTCAGGCCGGCTCCGCTTTGGAAGGGTTTGGAACACAGTGTTGAGTCAGAGCTCCTCTGAGGAGCACCTGACCCACCCTCTCTCCTTCACGTGGGCTTGG